AGCAACTGCCCCTTGCACACCCCCTACCGGGGATGTGCCCGCAACCAATGTACATGCCCTTGACCGGAATCGAACCTGGGACCTTTCAGTCCGCAGACCGATGCTTGACCACTGAGCCAAACCGGTTTTGGCTAGGTACAGCATCTTGCTAGTGGCACTGAGACATAGGGATTCAACCCTCCAGACACCAGTACGTACCTGCATACCAGCCCCTCGTTGTCTGGGCTGAGAGGAGGGACAGATCATCTGGGACCTATGGCTCTAGCCCTGGCCAGCAGTTCTAGCCCAGATCCGTCCATCAGGGCTTTGAAACATGCCCTCCATGGAGCTTGGTCTCCACTCATGCCCGGCTCTCACCCATGCTGTCCTGACACTGCTCTCAAGGGGAGGGGGTGAGATTGGGGGGTAATGTAAGCATATGTACTAAATGCCAATCAAATTCAAAATAGCACTTAATTGCTGAAACCCCAATCAGTGGATAGAGCATTGGCCTGCGGACTGAAAGGTCCCGGGTTCGATTCCGGTCAAGGGCATGTACCTTGGTTGTGGGCACATCCCCAGTAGGGGGTGTGCAAGAGGCAGCTGATCGATGTTTCTCTCTCATCTATGTTTCTAACTCTCTATTCTCTCTTCCTCTCTGTAAAAAAATCAATAAAATATATATTTTTTTTAAATAGCACTTAATAGAATTTTGGTTGATGTTTTATTTATCTAAGTTTAGTAATAACATAAGTTTTAAGATAAATACTTTGCTTTCCCATTTACACCTGTAACTTCAATGTGGCTTGCTATTTCTTGCAAAACCCGCCAAACGTTTTTTATAATTGTGTCATCAACAATAGTATCATAAGATCAGACTACAGAAAAATGTTTGATTATTAATATCTGATTATACAAAAAGTCACTCACATCAATGATGAATGAGGATAGCTCTGATGTAAATTTTGGTTGATATTTTCATTAATCTTAATGAGTTCATTTGTCAATGATGAAACTTCTTTTTTTTTTAATATAGGAAAAAGGAGAGAGATATAGGAACATCAATGATGAGAGAGAACCATAGATCAACTGCCTCCTGTACACCCCACCACCACCCCCCCACACACACACACACATACACACACACACACACACACACACACACACACACACTGGGGATCAAGCCCGCAACCCAGGCATGTGCCCAACTGGGAACTGAACCGCAACCTCCTGGTTCATAGGTAGATGCTCAGCCACTGAGCCACACCAGCTGGGCAATAATGTAGCTTTTTTATGAATCAGACAATAGTTTTCAAATATTGGAAAAAAGATTCTTGCTAATTTTTGTGCCATTCGCAATGCAACAGCTACGGACATGACCCACATTTTTAAAATATATTTTCTTGATTTTTTACTGAGAGGAAGGGAGAAGGATAGAGAGTTAGAAACATCAGTCAGCTGCCTCCTGCATGCCTTCTACTGGGGATGTGCCTGCAGCCAAATTACGTGCCTCTGACCAGAATTGAACCCGGGACCCTTCAGTCCACAGGCCGTCGCTCTATCCACTGAGCCAAACTGGCTAGGGCATGACCCACTTTTAAGTTTAATCTGCACTATTAACATTTTCTGCATCCCTTTTTTTAATCTAGACAGTCCTTAAAATAGTAATTCAATCTGATTGGTGGAGTTTGCCAATTTCCATGGTGTCAATACTCTCACCCTTATTTCAAACAACTCACTTGATGTGAATGAGTTGGGAAGAGTTGGGCAGGAACACATCATTGACTCCCACCGCACAGGTACCATCAATGTACATAAACCTCAGTAGAACAGATAATGATAAGATATAAATAATTAGCCAGTGATGTGTTTTGAGTATTTATTACCATTTAAAATATATATTTTTTTATTGATTTTGAGAGAGAGAGGAAGGGAGAGGGATAAAGAGATAAAAATAAAAAAAATAAAAAAAATAAAAAAACATAGAAGAGAAAGGAAGTCATGCAACGGGGATCAAGCCAACAACCCGGGCATGTGCCTTGACTGGGAATCAAACTGGTGACCTCTTGGTTCCTGTTTTTTTACACCAGCCAGCCACTATTTTTTTTTAATATAACTTACTTAATTGTGAATTGATATGATTGAATTTTAATAATGGCTGTGTTTAACAACCAGCTTACAACATTCCTGGAAATTTAACAGTCAGCTCTTGTACACTGTTAGGAACCGGCTCCAGCACACGCTGCCCCAGCCTCTCTGTGTAGCCGTGTTACCTGATTCCATTTGTCTGTCAGGACACCCCCTCTCCTGCCTCCCACCCACCCACTCAGCCCATCTGGCCAGGCCCAACCCCAAAGAGAGAAGGAAGAACAAAGCTACTGATCCCAGGAAGACTTGGAAGATTTTTAGAGTGATCCACCTTCACTTTGGGGAAGACAACCCCAATTTCAGGGTCTCAGGTTGATGAATTGGTGACAGTGACCACATTGAGCTCTGGTTAAGGGCACCCATCTGGAGTCTGCAGCTGCGCTTGAGTCGTGGCTCTGCCCCTCTTAGGCCATATGATCTGGAATGAAAGACTCAATCTCTCTGTGCCTCAGTTTCCTCATGTAAAATGAGAACAATAATGACACTTGCCTCATAGGGTCGTAAAGATTATATGAGATCACGGACTAAGAGTTGTTCACATAGCACTTGGCACCGAGTAAGAACTTCACACACAGCAGTTATCATTAGTAGTATTCAAGTCACAGTGGCTTTTACAAACTCATGTGTTAGCTAATACTACTTTCCACATATACAAAACATATGCAGCCCGGCCAATGTGACTCAGTGAATTGAGCATCACCCCATAAACTAGTTCAATTCCCAGTCAGGGCACATGCCTGGGTTGTGGGCTTGATCTCCACTAGGGGGCGTACAGGAAGCAGCCAATCTATGTTTCTCTCTAATAAATGTTTCTCTTTCTCTTTTTCCCTTCCTCTCTATCTAAAAAAATAAGAAGGGTGTGGCTCAGCAGTTTAGCATCAACCCAGGAACCATGAGGTCACTGATTTGATTCCTGGTCAGGGCATATGTCTGAATTGCGGGCTTGATCCCAGTGTGGGGCTTGCAAAAGGCAATCAATCAATGATTCTCTCTCATCATTGATGTTTCTACCTCTCTCTCTCCCTCTCCCTTCCTCTCTGAAATAAAAAATATATATATATTTTTAAAAAAAGAACATATTTAAAGGAAACATATACAGCCAATGTTTGCATGCTTTTAAGGTTCTAAAGGCTTCTATATTGCATAACCTGTTAGAAGCCTCAAGTGATTCAAGAGACAGTCACCATGTGATTATCATTCTCCACTCGTCATTGCATTCCATGGGCAGGGGACTATGTCATTGCATTCTGTGGGACTCAGAGGCTGAATCACCGCCCAGGGACACACAGCCAACGACCAACCCGTCGGAGCTGGGTCCACGGCCTCTGTTCCCCTTGAGCAGATCCCAAGCCTTTCATAGGCATTTTTGTTGAGCTCTTAACAGCCCTTAAACAGCAAGAACTGGAAGAACTACTACTGAGACTCAGGATTCTTAGCCAGTCAATTAGGTTGGACTATTTTTGCACAATTCTATAAATAAGTATTCATATGTAGTAAAAATGGTCAATCCAAAGAGCCAGTAACCTAGGAGACAAAACAGATTTTTTTCTCTCCTACATCACGGGCTTGGTGACACGCCATCAGACTTGGCTTGAAGTTACAGATGTGGGTGAGCTCTCATTTTTTCCCTTTTCCCCCCACAAAGGGCAGCGTAACAATGACCAGCTTCCTGAGTGTATGGGGAGGAATCGCAGCATGTCCATCTCGCTCACAGAGAAGGTTCAGAACCCAGACCGCCCCCTTGATAATCACAAGTGTGACCAGACATGTTTTGTTTTTTTCTTCTTCTTCTTCAAGGAAACGTATCAGATCAAGTTGGCTAACAATTAATCTGCCTTACAGTGCTGGGAGGGGTTACACACTCTCTGAAGGGCAATCTGGCAACATTTCTCAAAATTGCGGAGCCTGCCCTTTTGACTCAGCAATTCCACAAGAGGAATTTACCCCCCAGAGATACTCCCACATAATCAAGACCAGGGCTGTAGGTTATTCTTTGCGTCATCGATGGTAACGGGCAAAGACTAGAAACAACCTAAGTGTGTCCATGATTGGGCCTTCTAAGTAAGGCAATACTAAGTGGCCGTTAAAAAGAATGTAGCCAAAACCGGTTTGGCTCAGTGGATAGAGCGTTGGCCTGTGGACTGAAGGGTCCCAGGTTCGATTCCGGTCGAGGGCATGTACCTTGGTTGCAGGCACATCCCTGGTGGGGGATGTGCAGGAAGCAGCTGGTCCATGTTTCTGTCTCATAGATGTTTCTAACTCACTATCCCTCTCCCTTCCTCTCTGTAAAAAATCAATTATATATATATATATATATATATATATATATATATATATTAATAAAAATAAAAAATAAAAAGAATGTAACTGGGGGTAGAAGGGGGTTAGGAGGGGTCAGTGAGGGAAAAACGGGGACATATGTAATGCTTTCAACAATAAGGATTTTTTTTTAAAAAAGAATGGAACTGATGGGTATATGCTGATATGCTAGAATAATTTCTAAGCTATACTAAGCACCAGAGCAAGGGGGAAGGTCGGTACACATTTGAAGTATTTCTGGAAGGAGGTATAAAAAACTGGAAACAGGAGACCTGGGTAATTGGCACCACAGGGAGAAAAGGACTCTAGACTTCCTACCGTGTATTCTTTGGAAGATCTTTTTGAATTTCCTTCTATTTGTATGCGTCCTGTGTTCAAACTGAATGAATGTTTGTATAGGGGCTGGCGTGGGCGCCTGCAGCAGAAGAAGGATATTTAGATCCATAGCCGTTTCCTCGGAGCTGGAGGCAGCGGGGAGGTGGTCAGAAGGCGGGGAGGGAAGAAGGCTGGGTCCGGGGCTCCCTCCCCAGCTCACCCTCTCCCTGTCCCCGCAGCAGGTGGCCCTGGGGCAGAGCGAGGAGGAGCGGCTGGCGGCTGCCCGCCGCCGGGCGGAGCTGCAGGGCGCCACGTGCCAAGCGCAGAGCCTGCAGGCGGAGACGGAGTCCCTGCGGGCCCTGGTGAGTGGGCCAATTTTAACTCCCCGCGGTTGAACTGGGGTCACAGGGGTCACGGTGTGTGCCCGGAGCTTTCATCTCCCAGCCTAGGGGTCTGAGGCCTGAGAGGACCATCAGATCCCAATCACAAGGGTAGGAGATAGGGCGAGGACCCGGCTGCAGTGACTGTGGGCCACTCATGCCCACAGATGCCCCTTCCCAGCTGCCCCTCTGCTCCAGAGAATGGCCCTCAGCCAATCAGAAGACGCTTGAGATTTGAGGGGGCAGAGGTCCCACCTTTCCAGCCAATGACTGACTCACGGTGGGGAGGGCGGGTATTTATTTTATTAATATTTTTATTTTTTATATATTTTTTATTGATTTCTTACAGAGAGAGAGAGAAAGGGAGAGAGATAGTGAGTTAGAAATATCTATGATATCAGCTGCCTCCTGCACACCCCCCACTGGGGATGTGCCTGCAACCAAGGCATATGTCCTTGACTGGAATCGAACCTGGGACCTTTCAGTCCTCAGGCTGACGCTCTATCCACTGAGCCAAACCGGTTTCGGCATCACAGGGGGTTTAAAAGCCCCGCTCACTTGCTTCAAAGTGGACCCAGGCCTCTAGGGTAATTCACTGTCCCGGCCTCCGTGGGGTCAGGCCATGGGGTTAGGCTGTAGCCAGACTCTGGCTGAGACCACCTCCTGGCCTAGCAACTCCCCTGCACAGCCCTGTCCCGCTTCCCTTGCTCCCCCTTTCCTGGGAGCAACTCCTACATTATTCCCACATGCCGGGGTCCCTCCTGGGGCACCCACCCAACACCCCTGGGAAGCTCCTCACTGTGGTTGGTGGGCAGATCTCTCATATCATTAATTATTATTATTAATTTAAACGGTTATTAATAACGCAGCAGCCCACCTCTGCTCTCTGGGGTGGACTAAGGTTCTATTAGGTTGTCAAGCACAGCTCCTCCTGGATGCCCTCCAAGGGCCACGGGTACCAAGTCAACCACAAGCGAGTTGTACAGGCCAGCGTGCACGAAGGGGCTTGGTTCATGTAATCCTGGCGTGGCTGAGGTGGTCTAGTCCACTGAGGCCCAGGAAGCCTTCTCTCCCATCAGCCTCAAGTCCTCGGGCTGACCAGATACCACTGTTGATGCCCCTTTCTCCCACCACACCCCATAAACCTGCATCTCAGTTTTGCCACCCAAATCCGCTTCGTCATCAAGCCACCAGTCAGGCCTGCCATGAAGTTAGCTCAGGTGTTTATCCCAGTAGTTTCCCTCAGGAGCAGCTTTATCTCTGCCTGTGGCCACGCTCATCCCATCACCTCCGGTTCCCTCAAGTGTCTACCATTCCCCAGGTCCATTGTCCTCCGGCCAACATGGTCACACGGTGCCCAGCCGGCTCAGGACGGTGCTCAGTCTTCTTGCCACAACATGACATGCATCTCATTGCTCCACTTCTTTTTTATTGATTGATTGATGAGAGAGAGAGAGAGAGAGAGAGAGAGAGAGAGAGAGAGAGAGGGAGAGAGAGAGGTGGAGAGAGATTTGTTGTTCCACTTATTTATGTATTCAGTGGTGTTTCTTGTATATGCCCTGACCAGGGATCCACCCTGCAACCTTAGCATATCGGGACAAAGCTCTAACGCAGTGGTCAGCAAACTGCTGCTCCCGAGCCACATGCAGCTCTTTGGCCCCTTGAGTGTGGCTCTTCCACAAAATACTATAGCTTGGGCGAGTCTATTTTGAGGAAGTGGTGTTAGAAGAAGTTTAAAAAGAAGTTTAAGTTAAAAAAAAAATTGGCTCTCAAAAGAAATTTCAATCGTTGTACTGTTGATATTTGGCTCTGTTGACTAATTAGTTTGCCGACCACTGTTCTAACCAACTGAGCTACCCGGCTAGGGCCATCGTTACTCCACTCCTGTCCCACTCAGTCTCTGATGGGATCTGGGCCAGAGCAAGGGGGTGTGAGTAAAAGACCTGAGGTGAGAAAAATCAGAAAACTGCAGTTTAAAGCAATGCTACTTTCACTAAGCAAACAAAACAATATCTAAAAGCAATGGCATCATTCACTCAGAGGTATGTGAATGTTATGTAACCAGTTTTTTTCACCTGCCATAACCCTTGATAAACACCCAAATAGGGGTGCTGCCTCTTGCCTCTGTAGCTTTAGGCACAGTGAAGGGACTGCCATTCCTCCCCCCGGATGTCCTTGTGGCTGCCAAAAGTGTCACTCTTCTGGCGACAGAAAGTTCCAGGCAAAAGGTTGAGGACATATTCTCAAGCCAACATCAAAAAAAAAAAAAAAAAAAAAAAAAGCCCAGATGAATTACTCCTCAGTGGCAGGTGGCCCATCGCTCAGCACACATTCCACACATGCCTACTGGGTGCGTGCGATGTGCAGGGCCTCCCCTTAGCCCCCGGGGAGGCAAATCTGAAGGGGATCGTTCCTGTCCTCCAAAAGCTCAGCCCCTGTTGGTAATGAAAACCTGCGCACAAATGACTGAACAAAACAGAGGGGAGCTGTGTTCCCAGAAGCTGCTCCCTCCAGCTTCTGTTCTCAGCAAGCCTCCAGGACCCTCACCTCTGCCCCTCAGCAGATGCTGTCACCTGTATTATCCTGCAGATAAAATTAAGGTCCCCGCCCTACCCGGTTTGGCTTTAGTGGATAGAACATCTGCCTGCGGACTGAAGGGTCCAAGTTCAATTCTGGTCAAGGGCATATGCCCGTGTTGCAGGCTTAAATCCCCAGTGGGTCGTGCAGGAGGCAGCCAATCAATGATTCTCTCTCTTTCCCTCTTCCTTCCTCTCTGAAATCTATCTATCTATCTATAGATAGATAGATAGATAGATATAGATAGATAGATAGATATAGATAGATATAGATATATAGATATATAGATATATATATTGATAATTTAAAATCTATATATATTTTAACTTAAGGTCCCCAACATAAGGTCTCTGGTTTCTATTTCCCACTTCGAAATATCTCAGAAGCTTTATCCACCCCCCTTTCCTTCATAGACTCCCCTGTCTCGTGCTGCACCATCCGGGCATGCCTCTACCTACTGCCTTCTCTCTGCTGCATTTTCAGGGTCCCCAGCCCCTGGAATTGCCGGGGCTCGGCCAACAACAGAAAGCCCTCCTTTGCCAGATCTTCACGTTAATGTCCAGCTTTCGCCCTTTCCTTTCCTGCCTTGAGCCCTTAATGTGTTCTTCCCATGGCTGAAAGGAGACTTCTCCCCTCAAGTCTGCCCACCTCCACCTGCTCCTCTTGCCAACCCCTTGGCACAGGCGAGTGAAAACACGGAAATGGGACACCCACCGAGGAGCCTAGATTTTGATCCCACAGCCGGGTGGTCCTCCCACCCGCTACCCACTCACGTTCGGGTTGGTCCATGAGGTGAAATCAGCTCTTCCACCAGAGTCACATCAACTCCTTGAGGGCAGGACCCAGGCTTTGTTACTTTTGTGTCCCCAAATTGCTTGGTGCAGTGCCCCAAATTTCCTCAAAGTGACCCCTACATAAAAGCATCCTTGGAGAAGCATTGAGAAGCAGACAGGACTGTGGCTGCCATCCCATTTTGCAAGTGAGAAATCTGTGGCTCAGGGATTTCCCCATTAACACAGTAATAAGTGCAGGAACCAAGCCCTTCTGGCTCTATCTCTGTCTAGACCACAGCCAGCCTGTGGGACTGGGGGTTGGCGCTCAGGCTCTGCCATCAAATCCTGCTTCCTCTACTCATGACGCTCTAAATTCCGCTTTCTCTCTTTCCCATGAGGACCTACCTTGGTCATCCTCTTTATCTGCTGTGCTACTGGCCCTCAATCAGAACAACCTGCACACACACAAAGCCCCCCCCCCCCCCCCAGCCAAGCTGACGAGGCATTCTACCGCCTTTTCCAACAAGATTCTATGTGTTAGCAGCCAGGCACCAATGATGGTGCTGGAGGCCTACCAAGCTCTGTGTTCAGTCAAACCTGGAATTCAAGACCAGAAACCACAGATCACTATTTTACTTTCTGGAGTGTCTATCATCCAAAGGCATCCCTTCCAATGTCCAGAAGCTGGGGAATAATAAGCGTGCTGCTGTGACCATGGCATGCTCGCTGGTGCTGTCCATGTCCCCTCGCAGGCCAGGGTGGGGGCACCCGCAGCAGCAGCCTCATCATGGTCCCTCAGCTCAGGCATCTCCGTGGGAACCAGGCCAGGATGTCAGGACTTAGTTGGGGAGAACTGGTGCTTGGGCAGTGGGTCCTGAAGTCATCAAAGGGCCCTGGACCACAGGGAGGAATCACCTGTGAACATGGAGCCCACACTGTAAACCGATGACCCAGCCATGGCTCTGTAAGACATTTTTCCAAATCACAGGTGTTACACATCCAATGTCAACCATTGCTACTCACCAAGCTGGGCCAGTCGTGGGTGCCGTGTTAGGGACCCTGGAGAGCTCGGGGAGGAGGTTAGAGCAGAGGGGAGACAGGCCCAGAGTTGGACTTCAGACAGAACGCTGTGGCTTCCATGTGGGACATGCAGCACAAGGAGGAACCAGAGGCAGAAAGAGGAGCTGAGAGGCCCTTGGTGAAAGGTGATCGGCATCGATCCTGGGCATCAGTGGCTGGAGTTGGTGTGAAACTTTTCAGAACATATATAATGATTGCGTTTGGGAGAGAAGCAAGAAGACCAGGGGTGTGTCTTTCCCCAGTTTCTAGTTCTCCGGAGTTCCCCTGCTGAAGCACAGGACAGAGAAGACCAGCAGGTCCGTTTTGGAAGCCTTGATTTAAGGTGCGCTGGACTGCACATTATTTCCAGTCAGTAGGAAGCTCAGGAGCGGGTCAGGGCTTGGAGAGAGGAGAGACGTCTGTGCTAACAGAATCACTGCAGGAGCCATTAGCAGGCGGACTGGAAAAATCATGTGTGGGAGAGACCAACTAATAGGCCCGGGAAACACAGTTCGGAGACTAACAGGTTCAGGATGGGGCGACAGGGAACCCACAGGGAAGGGGGAACCAGAGGAAGAGGAACTAGCCCAAATGGGCACCTAAAACACTAAAGAAACAACTGCTGAGTATAGAACAGCCAGAGACGTTCACTGTGATTCTGATAATCTGGGGGAGGGAGCAGAGGAGGCAGCATTTTAGCGGAATGGTGAGTGGGGTTTCAGCAGTGGAGGGGGGGAGAGGATAGGGGCCCCCAGGGGTTGAGAAAAGGAGCAAAAAGGCCCAGAGGCAGGTCAGAGAGCACGGTTTCTTTGAAGCAACACCTGCAGACTGCTTCTGTGTGAGTGTCAGTTTCTCATTTTCTTCCTCTCTCATTTTCTCACTCATCTCTCGTTCTTATATCTCACCTCTCTCCCTCTCCTTCCCTCTTCTCTACCTCCCATCCAACCCCCTCCATGTCTCCCACACACACATCCACCCCCCACCCCCATCAGAAGGATCAGCGAATTAGACTAAACAAGAGTCTGGCCTCCTGAGGATTCATGATTTATATACCAAGCCGCATAAACCTAGCAACCGACCCGACCAATGCCAGCCCCTCCCACTGCTCTGCACACCTCCCTCTTCCAAGGGCCCTGCCCATCGGCCTTGAGTTTGGACATGTTCCCTCTTTTGTAGAAACGAGGCCTGGAGAACACATTGCAGGACGCCAAGCACTGGCATGACCTGGAGCTGCAGAACCTGGGCGCCGTGGTCCGCAGGCTGGAGGCGGAGCTCCAGGAGATGCGGGAGGAGGTGGAGCGGCAGCAGCAGACCCGCAAGCATCTGCTGGCACACAGGTGCCAGCTGCAGAGGGACGTGGCGTCCTGCCACGATCTGCTGGACAGGGAGGAGAGCCGGTAGGTCTCTTCTTACTTAATTGTAAAAGGAACGCAACTCATCATTTAAAATATTTTTCAGCCAAAACCGGTGTGGCTCAGTGGTAGAGCATCGGCCTGAGGACTGAAAGGTCCCTGGTTCGATTCCGGCCAAGGGCATGTACCTTGGTTGCGAGCACATCCCCAGAAAGGGGTGTGCAAGAGGCAGCTGATTGATGATTCTCTCTCATCGATGTTTCTAACTCTCTATCCCTCTCTCTTCCTCTCTGTAAAAAAAAAAAATCAATAAAATAAATAAATAAATAAATAAAATATTTTTCAAACACTATAGAAGTAGTGAAGATAGAAGAAATCACCCCAAACTCCCCAAAACACACACACACACACACACACACACACACACACCACACACACACACTCCCATAGCCCCACTCTGTCCTTCCACAAATATATAAACAAATATATATTACAAATGTGCGTGTATACATAAATGTGTCACACCTGTTTATAACCATATAAACAGATATACACATACACACGTAGATGTGCCTATAAATGTTAAGACACACCTAGTGCAGCAGGTTCTCCAGTAAGGTCATTTAGTTCAACATCATGTCATTATGACACTGATGAGATGCCATAGGAATTTAACGCTTGTTTATATAGATTATTCTGTAGTAAAACTGGCTTCCTTATACATCATTTCATCATAGTTCCCAGAACCCATTGACAATGTCACATGAGGACTTACTGTAACATACATGGTAGCTGTTAGGAATGCTTTCAGCTGCATGTAATAGAGCCTACGTAATGGGGCCATAAGCCAGTGGCCCTGAAGTTTCACGTGCACCCAAAACCTGGGCATCTCTTTAAAATGCAGATTCTGCTTCAGTAGGTCTGGGCGGGGGCCTGATGGTCTTTACTTCCAACAAACTCGCAGGTCAGGCCTATCCTGCCGGCCCGCAGACCACACAGGGAGCAGCCAGGACATAACCCGTGTTTGTCTGCGAGTTCCAGAAATGAGGTGGCCCAGGCTTCTCAATGATTTCAGTAGGTCCCACGCCCTTTCCATCTTTCTGACTTACCATCCCTAATATATTAGCTTTTTTGTCTTCATCTTTGTCCCCATGGTGGCCAAATGCCTACCACAGCTCCCGACCTCAGGTCCTCTCACTCATGACAAGAAGGAGGAAGGAAGAGAGGGCAGCAAGAACGGCCTTTCCCTGGGTAACCTCTTTACCAGCCAGCGAAGGGGAAGTGTGTTGAGAAGTCCTCTAATGGACATTGCCTGTTGTCTCATTGACCAGACCTGCTCACATGGCCTTACCTCCCTGCAGGTAGTTCTGGGAAAGCAACTCTTTCCAGCTTCTACACTGGAGAGAGGCAAGGATAGGGATGACATATATATGTCTAAGTATGTATATGAATGTATGCATGTGTATATACACACATATATACATCGATGTATATAGGCAGTCTTTTTTTTTAATATATTTTATTGATTTTGTACAGAGAGGAAGGGAGAGAGATAGAGAGCTAGAAACATCAATGAGAGAGAGTCATCGATCAGCCGCCTCTTGCACATCCCCTACTGGGGATATTCCCGCAACAAAAGTACATGCCCTTGACCGGAATCGAACCTGGGACCTTTCAGTCCCCAAGCCGACGCTCTATCCATTGAGCCAAACCGGTCTTCGCATATAGGCAGTCTTTTTTAATGGGTGAGGACTACAAGAGCTTTTGCATGAGTTCTGGGACTAGTTCCTTGCCAGCTCTCTAAGGAAATCCAAGCCTTTATTAGATCATAATTCTATATCTTCATATCTCCCTCCAAGGCCCCGTCAGTGGCATACATTGACTAAGGAATAGAATATCAGTTCTAAGAGATAGCTTAGCGATTATATAGTCCAACCCCCGTGATTCCAGCAAAACTGCAAAGGCCCAGAACAGAAAAGCGGTTTTCTGTGATCACATGAGGAGGTGGAGCCAGAGCTGGGACTCCGTAACATCCCTTTCTTCAGAAACAGGAGAGCCACGGGGAAGCAACCAGCCCTTCCTCCTTTCCAGCGGAAAACGTGTCCTCCAGCTCCCCTCCAACTGTCTTTTTATTGGATTCATTTCTGTGGACTATAGAAGCTGGATGTTTCTGAACAAGCTCATTTTTCCACATGCCTGTGAACATCTGAATAAGTGCACAAATTCGTTTTAAACATAAAAAATGGTGAATTAAGCTGACTATTCTTCAAGAATTTAAGAATGCCATTTAGTGAGTACCTGCTGTGTGCCAGCACAATTTCAGATTCTCTGTTCTCCTCATTTCCCCTGAAATCCTGCTAGGACTATATCATCATCTCCATTTTACAGGTAAGAAAGAAAGCCCCAGAGAGCTTCAGTCATTTGCTCAAGGTAACTCAGCCAATACCTGTGGAGCAGGGATTTGAAACCCAGGTTGGCCCTGGCCAGGTAGTTGGTTACAGCATCTTCCTGATTCAATTTCTGGTCAAAGCACATGCAAGAAGCAATGAATCCTATATAATAAAAGCCTAATAGGTTAAGTGTCTGGTCATCTGTCCAACCAATCAAAGTGTAATTTGCTAATGATATGCTAAGGTTGTTCAACCACTCACTATGATGTGCACTGACCATCAGGAGGCAGACGCTCCGACTGTTAGGTTAGCTTGCTGCTGGAGTCCAACTGATCAAAACTGAGTGAGACAGGCTGGACATGCCCTGGAGCCTTTCTGCAGTCCCTCCCAGGCTGGCCAATCGCCCGTGTCCCTCCCTGGCCCGATCGTACACCAGTGGGGTCTTTCGGCCTGGCTTGTACCCTCTCACAATCTGGGATCCCTCAGGGGATGTTGGAGAGCCGATTTTGGCCCAACGGCAGAATGACCAGTCACTTTGACGCGCACTGACCATCAGGGAGCAGATGCTCAGCGTAGGAGCTGCCCCCTGGTGGTCAATTCATCCCACAGAGGGACCACCACTCAGCCAGAAGCTGGGCTAACAGCTGGCGAGCTCAGCAGCAGTGGCAAGAGCCTCTCCCACCTCCATAGCAGCACTGGGGATATCCACCTGAGGGCTCCCAGACTACAAGAGGATGCCTACTCTGCCCCTGAGTGCATGAATTTCATGCACCAGGACTCTAGTCTGGTGGAAACATGCAAAGTTTCCCCTCTGGAGTTCAACCAGGAGACTGGGAGTTCAATCACTCGCTATGATGTGTGCTGACCACCAGGGGACGGTGCAGAATGAAGGGAGGCCCCAGCCAGCAGCTGGAAGGCCAGGATGGGCCCTGATCACCAGCCAGGCCTAGGGACCCTATGGTGCATAAATTCTGTGCATCAGGCCTCTATAAATAAGTGGAACAACAAATCTCAACAAATCTCTCTCTCTCTCTCTCTCTCTCTCTCTCTCTCTCTCTCTCTCTCTCTCTCTCTCCTCTCTCCCTCTCTTTAAAATCTATTTAAAAAAAAAAAAAAGAAAAAGAAAGAAAGAAAAGAAAAAGAAACCCAAGTTGTCTTATTCCAAAGGCCAACTGCTTTCCACGAGATTCCTACCTTTCCTGTAATCTTAAAATTGTGATCTCTTTACTAATTCCAATCATCCATAGCTTCTCTCGCTCAAATGTGTTTTTGTTTATTTGTTTCAGCTAGTGGAGAAACCTCTTTTCATGAAGAAAACGCTGCCTCCTCACCGAGTGGCCAATGGAGTGCCTTGAGGAGTCTTTCCCGCCTGCTCCCCCATCTACCCCAAACCGCCTCCCATCCCCCACACTCCCGGAGCTGGATTCCCTGCTAGATCCCCTTGAGCTGAAAAGCTTCCCAGGAGTGGAGAGGGTTCTTTGGCCTTAAACCGAAGTAGCCTGTGGCTTGGGCAGCCTCCCTGCCCCTCTCTCTGCCAATAAATGCTTTGCGTGCAGCTTCCAGTCTGACCACCTGTTCAGCTCGCCACCGAGTGGAGATGGTGTCACTTTACCTGCCTGGCCTTTGCTTGTGGAGTCACCCCTGAAGGCTCTGGAAAGTTCCCTGAGCATGATGCCAGCTGCCTCTCCGCCCAAGGATCAGCCGCTTGGGCGAGCGCTGTGCTCCAGGCATGCAAGTCCACCACGGTTTGGGGCAAAGATGGCACTCTTGTTAGAGAGGGGAGGGGCAAGGCGCTGTGCTGCACGCACCACAATCACAGGCATTGTGAAGCATTCAGACCTCTTTCATGTGCTCTGCCTGGGTGTTTATGTGCGGACCAACACATGTCACTGCCATTGGCGGAGGGCCTCTCCATCAGTTTAAAGGGAACTTCGGTGTAAGTCTGTGGGGGGTTAATTAGACTGTGGTTGCTTACTTCACTTCTAGACTCAGAATTTACTTCCTCCGTGGAAGCCAGGCTGGCCAAATATAGTTCCCGAATCTGCCACCTACCCAGGCAGGGCCCCCCTGCCTTGCTGATTAAAATTGAAACCAGCACCTGTGTCCTCGCACCAGCTCTCAGCGCCTCCCAAACCACACACACACACACACACACACACACACACACACACACACGGCCCGACCTCGATTTCTTAATTCTCCCCCCACGCTTGTGACAGCCCACCTGTCACACAGCATCCCAGACGCCGTATCCAAGCTGAGTCTTTGTCCTCATCAAGCGCCGGCCCAGACAGGGGGCCGTGTCCACTGTGGGCCAATTTGAAGGCCCCCTCCCCCCAGTACCCGCACTTCCAAACAGCCAAGGCCAACACAAATGAGAGAAGCCTTGTTTCCTCCGCAGGAAGCTCGGAAGAGAAGCAAAGTCAGAAAGGGGGTCTCCTGGTTGGAATGGCTCCAGCCGGGTTTTCTGTCTGCCTTCCGGGGCCGCCAAAGGAGTCGTATTAATGAGCCACTTGGGCAGGACAGCTACTGAGTTTGCCTGAGACCTTTCCATAATTCTGTTTGTTGTCTGAGGCACAGAAACAGGCAAGCCCCCACCTCATGCTGCATTTCAGCAAATCACCAATCCCTCCCTGCTGCACTCTGGGAGCGGGAGAGTGGAATTCACCACTGGGTGCAAGACACAGTGTGCAGCCAGCCTGGCTCTGTTGCATGCATCCAACACTAAGTCTGTTTCTTTTCTTTTCTTGTTAGGATTAGATTTTTTTGCCCCCCAGCCAAGGCTGAAATCCCTAAACCTAAACACAGCTGGAGGGCCCCGAAAGGTCAGCCATTCAGAGGCACTTCTGTGTCCGAATGGCTATGCCTTGCCCAGAGCCTGGCAGCTGTTTGAGCCCCTGCCAGAGGGGGGAATGGACTTGCACCCCTCCTCAGCCCCCACCACCCCTCCTCAGTCCCCGCCCCCCCCCTCCTCTGTGCCCCCCCCCCCCCCCGTCCCCCCACCTCTCCTCAGTCCCCACCAGCCCGCAGCTGGGCCGGGCCACACACCGGCCTCCTGGGCTTTGTAATCGGAAGAAGCAGCCGCCGTAAATCATCACATTAATCACCCTTTGGCAGCGAGAGCCCAGGCTGGCTGGTGCTTCCAGTTCCCAGCACAGGTTTCTGCTGTTTCTAAATGAGGCTTCATTGTCAGGTAAGAAAAGGCTCCGCTGGCCCTCCTGACTCCGGCTCCGCCAGGGCCTTATCTAACGCGGGCTTCCTGGCAAAACACCCGGTGCAGTGACACCGGCGGGGCCAGGACAGCAGCGACAGGTGGCTGGGAGGCTGCGGCTGGGGGGCCAAGAGGACAGCGCGTTTGCTCTGGAGAAGGCTGCGGTGGACTCCTCCGAAAACAGGTAAGGCCACTGGCCTCCAGCCTGGCTCCCAGTGAGATTGCCAGAACGTTCCTGGGCTGTCAGACCAAGGCACTAAGTCTCGCCTGCATTACCTTCTGTCACACTCCTGAGCACCTCCAGGGGCCCAGACATTCTGTTGGGCATGGGGATGCCAGCATCAAAGGGAGACACGCAAGCATGTCACACTCATGGCGGGCCACATGCCTGTCAGAGTCACTGGGGAGTCAGGTGTGCACAGAAAAGCAGACACAGAGCACAGCAGGCTGAGCCACACACTGCCGTGTGCATGACCCCATCAGTGTGTCACAGACGGCATGAAAGAGACTTCCCGTCAGGTCTTTGTTGATGTTGGGTAAGGTGATTCAGCAAGAACCATCAAGCACTGTGCTGGCGTCTGATTGTCTCTATTCCCTGCAGATGGTCTACATGTTTCCAGGTTTATTGAGATAGGATTGGCATTCGGCACTGGACAGGTTTAAGGTACACTGTGAAATGATGACCATGGAAAGTTAACATCCATCGTCTCCTATAGATAAACTTTTTTCCCCTTATGATGAGAACTTTTTTCTTTTTCTTGTGCGATGAGAACTTTTAGGGTTTACTCTGTTAACAACTTTCCTAGGTACCATACAGCAGTGTTCACCAGTCATCCTGTGTACAGTACATGCCCAGTACTTATTCATCTTCTCACTGGAACTTTGTACCTTTTGACCACCTTCCCCCAACTCCCCCTCTCCTCCTCCACACCCACGCTGCTTCTGGTAACCACAAATCTGGCCTTTTCTCTCTCTTTCTCTCAGTTTGAGTTTTGTTTTTAAGATTCCACTGTCTGACTTATTTCATTTAACATAATGCCCTCAAAGTCCACCTATGCACCCAACTTGTTTCAAATGACAGGATTTCCTCCTTTTATGGCTGAATAAACATCCAGTGTGTGTGTATACATATTCAAACATACAAAATAACACAGCTTCTTTATCCATTGGTCCGTTGATGCAACACTTAGATTGTCAACATGTCTTGGTTATTGTAAATAATAATACTGCTTAATGCTGCTATGAACATGGGGGTACAGATAGCTCTTTCACATAATGTTTTCATTTCCTTGAGATATGTTCCCAGAAGTGGAATTGCTGGAGAATGTGGTAGTTTTAATTTTTTTGAGGAAATTCATACTGTTTGCCATAGTGGCTGTACCAGTGTACAGTCCCCCCAACAGGGCACAAGAGTTCTCTTATCTACATATCCTGGCCATCGCTTATCTCTTACCTTTCTGATGACAGCAATTCTAACTGATGTGAGGTAATGATTTGATTTAGATTCCTTTGATAAATGAGTGATATTGAGCACCTTTTCATGTACTTTTTGGTCATTTGGGTATCTTCTTTGGAAAAATGCACCCATTTTTTAATGGGATTGCAGTTGACCCTCAAACAATTCAGGTTAGGGGGGCTGACCACTCCTTGCTGTGCAATCAAAAGCCCACATATAAGTTTTGACTCCCCCAAAACTCAACTAGTTGGCCCTCAGTATCTGCAGGGGATTGGTTCCAGGAATCTCGTCATACCAACATTTGTGGGTGCCCAAGTGTCTTAATATGTAAAATGGTGTAGCGCCCTAGCTGGTTTGGCTCGGGGATAGAGGATTGGCCCGTGAACTGAAGGGTCCCAGGTTTGATTCTGGTCAGGGCGTATGCCTGGGTTGTGTGCTCGACTCCTAGTGTGGGGCGTACAGGAGGAGGCAATCAATGATTCTCATCAATGATGTCTCTCTCTCTTTCTCTCTCCTTCTCTCTCTCCCTCTCCCTCTCTCTCTCCCTTGCTCTCTGAAATCAATAAAAATATTTATTTTTTTTAAAAAAAGATCATGAAACTGTTAGGAGGTTAGAATATTGTGCATTTCTTTTAAATGCATGTTTCAGTTTTACATAGTATCAATTGTGTCTATACTAAAAACAATTATTAGCATAGTTACACTTTTTCCCTGTTTCTCTCCCTTTATCCTGTCTTTTTTTTTTTTCTTTATCCTGTCATTTTTACTGTATCAGGGTTTATTTTATGCACATTCTTTTCTGCAACCCATAATTCATGTTGTGGTTCAGCCTTAGTCTATCGATAGTTAAATGAACTAATATTTAAATGGGTCCTTTCACCCAGCATTTTCATCCCTGGATTCTTATTTTGATTCATCTCTTGTTTAAACGCATTTCCCTTTAAGGAGTTTTCCAAGGGTTGATGGCTGACAGGTGCTTTACCTCCTGGCTTCTTTCATGTTTGAGATGTCTGTTTCCGTGTGTGTGTTTGTGTTTGTGTGTGTGTGTGTGTGTGTATAATTAAATTTTTACAGAGAGGAAGGGAGGGGATAGAGAGTTAGAAACATCAATGAGAGAGAAACATCGATCAGCTGCCTCCTGCACACCCCCTACTGGGTATGTGCCTGCAACCAAGGTACATGCCCTTGACCGGAACTGAACCCGGGACCCTTGAGTCCGAAGACGGACACTCTATCCACTGAGCCAAACCAGTTAGGGCTGTTTCTGTTATATTTTATGAAGAACTTGTCTGGGCACAAAGTTCCTGGGTCAAACATTGTTCCCCTCAGAACTTGGCAAGTATTGCTTCATAGTTTCTTGGATCCACTGTTGTGAAAAGATTCAAGGCTGATCTAACTCTTTACCTCCTCTCTTCTTCCTGGAGACCTGAATGTTTCTCTTCCTGCTTCAAGTTCTTAAAGAAATCAGCATATTGCCGAAACCAGTTTGGCTCAGTGGATAGAGCGTCAGCTTGGGGACTGAAAGGTCCCGGGTTTGATTCCGGTCAAGGGCATGTACCTTGGTTGCGGGCATATCCCCAGTAAGGGGTGTGCAAGAAGCAGCTGATCAATGACTCTCATTGATGTTTCTAACTGTCTCCCTTCCTCTCTGTATAAAATCAATAAAAAAATATTTAAAAAAAAGAAATCAGCATATTGACTGCTCTCATTCCTAATCAGCTTTTCCAATTATATGATATGTTATCTCTGCTTGAAAATTCTATTATTCTTTGATTTCAAGACAACTTTTTTGTATCATGTCTCTGTGTAGTTTTTCTGTTCCATTTGTTCACATCTTTATTTCAAAGGCATCAAAGGATCATCTTTGCTCTCATCTATGTCTTTCATCTTC